AAAAGTAAGGTTCTACATTTAGGCAAGAAAAACCAAATGTACAGGTATAGTATAGGGGGTACCTTGCTCAATAGTAGTAACTGTGAGAGGGATCTCGGAGTCCTAGTGGACAATCATTTAAATATGAGCCAGCAGTGTGCTGCAGCTGCCAAAAAAGCCAACACAGTGCTAGGCTGCATTAACAGAGGGATAGAATCAAAATCACGTGAAGTATTAATACCACTTTACAATGCCTTGGTAAGGCCACACTTGGAATATGCATCCAGTTTTGGTCACCACGATGTAAAAAAGATGTTGGGACTCTAGAAAGAGTACAGAGAAGAGCAACAAAGATGATTAGGGGACTGGAGGCTAAAACATATAAGGAGCGGTTGCTGGAATTGGGTATGTCTAGTTTAACGAAGAGAAGGACGAGGGAGGACATGATAACAGTGTTCCAATATCTCAGGGGCTGCCACAAAGAAGAGGGAGTCAAGCTATTTTCCAAAGCGCCTGAAGGCAGGATAAGAAACAACGGATGGAAACTAATTAAGGAGAGAAGCAACCTAGAACTAAGGAGAAACTTCCTGACAGTTAGAACAATTAACCAGTGGAACAACCTGCCTCCAGAAGCGGTGAATGCTCCAACACTGGAAGTTTTTAAGAAGAAACTGGACAGCCATTTGTCCGAAATAGTATAGGGTTTCCTGCCTGAGCAGGGGGTTGGACTCGATGACCTCCAAGGTCCCTTCCAACTTTATTATTATTATTATTATTATTATTATTATTATTATTATTATTATTATTATTATTATTATTATTATTATTATTATTATTATTACTATTACTATTATTATTACTACTATTATTATTATTATTATTATTATTTTATTCTTATTCTGCAGCTCCCATATAAAAATGAAATCTCTGTTCTACAGCTGATATTCTGCAGGATTACTGCTCTGCTCCTTTTCCTGTAAATAAAGTTCTGACCTTTTTCACTTTCCCTCCATAGATTTAATATTCGAGATAAAACAAATGACTGTGCTGCAATTGGATTAAATTCCACCCTCTCAAGATCTTGCTCTGAATTAAACCGCTTCATTTGTGAGGAGAAGGTATAAAAACTCTTTGGACAATGGAAATTCACAGCAAGATATAATCGGAATTCTATCCTCAGCTCATAAACTTTGGCCCTGATAAGAAAGTGAATCTACTGTGATGCAATTAAAAATTTGGAGTGAATACTCCTCTCCAACCCACTTCAGGTTACATGGAATTCTGTCTTTAGATCCAATTCCTCCTTGAGTGAATATATCAACCTGTATTTTATTGCTGCTTTAAAAATAAAGATTTCCAGAGGACGTGTGGCTGTTATTTCAAATCAGCAAAATAAATGCCTCCGACTATCAGAGACATTGGAAAACTGAACTACTGTACTATACTCTGCTATACTTAGAGCAAAATATATACATACATTCATTTCAAGCTCTTTCCATGCAAAAGGATTCTCCTGTCTTCTGTAGGAGGTTAACAATTTAATGTTTTAAAGGTGATTTGTTAACATCCTGTGTTGTGTATGTTATGTTGCTTTATGTGAACCAGTTGGGTGCTGGTTCACATAAAGCAGCACAAAATTAGGGCACTCCACACTAGGCCTACAGATAAAAAGGATGTCTGGTTGCTTTTGCCTCATAGGAGAAATAAAGACAGCAGTAGGTTGGTTACTGTGCTCATAAACATACCTAAAACAATGGGCCCATTTCTCATATATGTCTTTGCCTTTTATGGTTACACTTTACAAGTTTCGAGTATACAAAATTAATTTGTTAACTATTTGATCTTTTAAAAGTTGACTTCCCCCTCCTAGAACATGCATACTAATGAACTAGTATGCATACTGATGCATACTAAATGTACTATTTTGGTCTCCTTGTATTGGACCTGTAGAAAGGGGCCTTTATGTGTCCCTATAATTTATTTATTTATATAACCTATTTATTTCCACTAACAAAGAAAGATGTGACAAGGTGAAGCAGCCTAGAACTAAGGAGAAACTTCCTGAGAGTTACAACAATTAACCAGTGGAACAACCTGCCTCCAGAAGCTGTTAATGCTCCAACTCTGGAAGTTTTTAAGAAGAGACTGGACAGCTATTTGTCCGAAATGGTATAGGGTTTCCTGCCTGAGCAGGGGGTTGGACTAGATGACCTCCAAGATCCCTTCCAACTTTATTGTTGTTGTTGTTATTGTTATTGTTGTGGGTCATTGCACAGTCAGCCAGATGTTCAGACTGGATTTGGCATTTTGTCTACCTATCAAGTCCTTATCAAGGACCTGGGATAGACAGATATGGATGTTTGATGGTATTACAGATATCGTCGCAAGATGGATGCAATTCCTAGTAAGGCCACCTTTTGCAATTGACTAATGGCGAATTTGTCAATGCCAATGGTGTTCAAGTGGTACTCCAATTGTTTTGGGATTGCACCCAAGACGCCTATTACTATGGGTACTACCCTTGCTTGCTTTTGCCACAGTCTTTCTATTTCTATTTGTAGGTCTTTGTATTTTGTTATCTTCTCCAGTTCTTTCTCGTCTATTCTGCTGTCTCCAGGCACTGCCACGTCCACTATCCAGATTTTTTTGTCTTTCTTATCGACAATTGTTAAGTCCGGGTGTTATGTTGCAGGTGCTTGTCTAGTTGTTGTTGTTGTTGTTGTTGTTGTTGTTGTTGTTGTTATTATTATTTATCACTGGGAGAAACACTTGGCTGATTCAGTTTGTTAACTCATTTAGTCCGTTCACCCAGTGGTAGTTGCCATCCAGAGCCAGAAGAAAATTGACGTTGCTTCCATCCTACATGGTATCACAAGACTGGGCAGGTGTGCACAAGTTTCTGAATTTCAGGAAAGATCTTGTGTGGAAATTCTCACTGATTAATTTAGCTACTTTATCATCCTGGTGACTTCCCTTCCAAAGGACAGAAATAAAGTGGAAGATTCACAAGTAGAAGAAGTTGGAAGATTGGGGGGAAACATGAATTTGCTGGTCTGCCCTAACAAAAAGGATTTCTTTGAAAGACAAGAAAAACAACTGAGGTGTTTTGGTTGGATAATGCAAAATAGATCTCTTAATCAGACAAAACTGTATATAGGAAGCAATCTAACAGAGATGCCTTAATCATAGCATAAGAATGAACTATATATTGCATCATGGAAATGGCCTGCACATTTTTTAGCGTAAAATTACACATTTTTGCGATGACACAATGAAGCAATAAAGGTTACAAAAATTGATGTGATATTTTACAATGGCCTTTAAAACTAATGGGAATGAGCTTTCCCATAGAGACTAGTTTCAGGATTTGCTATATACAGTAGGTAATCAGGATTAACAAAGAAATATTAGATTTGTAATGCCTTTGAATATAGTTATAATGGATAGTTTGGACTACTGAAGATTTGTTGATGTCTTCTTCAAGTGCAGCAGCTGTCTTTGAGAGTGGATGCAGATAACTATTGGATTGCCTAAAGTAGATATTTCCACATTATTTCCTGTGCGTGCATTTATAAATTAAATAAATATTATAACTCCATCCGATGTCTTCAAAACTATCATTCTTTACAACTAGCTGAGAACTGTTTACTGCTCTGAAATGACAGTAAGTGACTTCACAGCAGAATTAGTTCCTGAATTTGATGTGGCAATGAAACCACAACATCCATTTACCAAGAACACAATTTCCTTCCTTTTAGGACAAAACATTATTACTACAAAATCTTCTGATATTGGAGATATTACCACATTATAGCAAACTGCATTAGGAAAACATACACATTGTAGGTCCAGACCCACATTCATTCCAACTACTCAGAGCTACCATCAGAAGGATGAAATGTCATACTAGTGCTTTCTTTAACAAATGCTTTATATACTGCTTCACAGAGCTTTACAGTCCTAAATTGTTTAGAGAGTCAGGATATTGCCATCAACAATCTGGGTCCTCATTTTACTGACCTCAGAAGGATGGAAAGCTGAGTCAACCTTGAGTCAGGATTGAACTACTGGCAGTTGGCAGAGTTAGCCTGCAATACTTCATTCTAACCACTGCGCCACCACGGCTCTTGGTGTGCTCTTCAAGCTCCATTATTAAGACAGCAGATTTTGTTCCACCACCTGCATATATTCTGAAGAAAAGTGTGTTAGTAAATGAATTGTATCAACTTGTAGATAGATTCAAAGTGTGTTGTTACAGAATTAATTAAGTCATTGCTCCAGGTAGCTTATTACCACTGTCTCAAAATGGCAGTACTTGCCCGTGATCTGGGTCCTTAGCCCTGCCATCAGTGATGCTGCAAGTAACGTCAGGATTGAAAAGTTGATGTTTTATGGACTTGGCTTTTAGATAAGGGATTGGATATGAGATGAAGCAATATCTGTTTGTAACCTTATAGGGGTTGAAGAGTTACTACATTTGTCTTTACTTGTTGTAATGAAGGTTGGAAGACACTTGTTCGTGTATTTTTACTATATCATGTTCTTTTTTCTTGTATTTCTATGCTTTATTACTATTTTTTCTTTAACTTTGTTTTAGTTTTTACAATTGTAATCAAAATGTTTAATAAAAAATATTATATGTCAAAATATTAGCAAATTTGTAAACAATTATTGTACATTAAAGCAAGCAAAAATATTAATAAATGTCTTCAAGGAAAACATTTTGAATGTGGCAGAATCAACAGCAGTATATAAAACTGACCAGTCAGAATAATGAATGAAAAATTGGAAAGATAAACTTCTGTATGGTCAGTTGCTGAAAGAAAAGGAAGATGTGGCCAACAGAAACACAACTTGGCTTCAGATAGATTCCATCAAGAAGGAAACTGAAGGGTTAATATTCTCTACACAAGAATATTAGCAAGATTAGCCAAAAAATGCCATACAAAATAGATATTCAAAACAATGGAAACTGCAGGAAATGTAGATTATGCAAAAAGAAAACACCCACTAAGTGGCTGTAGTAAAATTGCCCAGGCAGCTTATAAGATCCAACATAATTGCATGGCAAAATGGTGTTTTAAGATTCATGTAAAAAATGTGGATGTGATGCCCCTCAACATTGGTATGTCTATTAACAGGGGTGTCAAACTCACCATGTCACATTACGTATCGCGACATATTACTTCTTCTCTGTCTTGGCATGATGCATCTGGCCCATGGGCCGGCAGTTTTGACACCCCTGGTCTATAATGTTGAAAATGTATTCCAGAATGACCATGGAAAAATATCTGAATTCAGATGAACTGGCATTTATATCACAACATGTTAGATGTCAGAGCAGTTGAAGCAAAGCAAGGTTTTTTTCATTTTCAATCTGGATTGACTTGGATTCATGTGTTTGGCTAAACACAATATAATTTTGTAAACCATGGCTTTTGACTCAGGAGACCATAGTTAAAGAAATTCAAGTTTAGTATGACGTGGATCCTATGACAGTTCACAGTCATCTTGCAGTATTTTCAGGAAAAAGAACTTGCTCTTTGGGGGATCCTGAAACAGCCACCAAAGGCAAATATGTTCACATGAGCCTGATTTGGTCCCTGCAATATCTCATTCAGCTATTGGGAAAGAAAGAGTCAGTCGTATATGAGCCTTGTACCTTTTTTTCAGATTACCTTCTATCTAGATTCCTACTGATTAATACATGGGTGTCAAACTCGCTGCATCATATGATGTGTGGTGACATATCACAACTTTTTTTTGCATTGCTGGAGCTGGGGTGGGCGCGGCATCCATATGAGGCAGGCAGGCAGTTTGACACCCCTGGATTAGTATCTCGCCTCTTCATAATTTTGTATTCACACAATTGTAGAGAGATTTCTGTATAGGAAGAAAGGTCTTGATGCAAAATCCTTGCAGCTTGGAAATGATTTCCATCCCCCCCCCCCTTATAGTGTAAAATGACATGATGATCTTGATTCAGCAGGAAATATAGCAGCTTATAGTAAATGAAGGAGTGAGATCATGAAAGGATATACATATTTTATTAATCAACAAGGTCTGCTATTTACTCAGTCTTCACTCCTAGGCAGCCCAGCAGAGGATTCTTTCAATCAATTAACATAGGTCTTCTCACAAATCCAACTGAGTTCATCATAGCATGATACTGGACTCACACTTCCTGCCCCGACAGCAGCACAGTCTTTATCCATTGTTGCTCTAATTGAAAAGCTGTCAACAAGAGCACAATTTTTTTAAAAAAAAATCTGAGTTTGGTTCAACAAATCTAGTAATGTAAAGCATGTGTCCCATCCAAAATAAAAAATATTAATCTTACAACTCAA